GCCAACGCCGTGCATGCCTGCAGCATGCAGCCAGCACTGGATTGCTTTCGTTAGGAGCATTATAAATGCTCTTCACCAAGAGCTAGCTACCAAGGGTTGTGAACACTGCAGGGAAAACTGCTGGATGGCCGGCTGATACTGGTGCCCATCACCATGGAGTCTGTGCTCCATGCAGCTTTGTGGTATCTGCTAACTTTTCTGTTGCAAAGCCAGCAAACACTTCCAGGTGGTGGCCACCCTTCCCACCAAGCCACTGCTGGAGGACACCCTCCCCACCAAGCCACTGCACCAGCAGTCTGGGGCAGAGCCAGGGCGTCTCCGCCTGTGGTCCCCTCTCAGGTAACAGAGGGCAGGAGGGAGCCAGACCTTATGGATGCCTCTGTAGCTGCACAACTTACTGTTGCTGTGGGTCACCGTGATCTGCTGCGCCGTGCTGACCCCCCGAGGAAACCGCTGCTTCATCCGGCAGCCCAGGTCCTGGGAATCCAGAGCTGCAACCTCCCGACCCCGCAGCCCCGGGGGCGATGCGCAGGTCACCTGCACAGCTGGGAGATACATGGGCTAAAGTGGGACAGGGGATCTTTGCCCATCCCCTCCCCGGTTCAGAGAAGACGATCCCTGCTTGCTCCTGGGTTAATGGGATGCATTGCAAGGTGCTCCTGGCTCTGCCTTCCAGCTCGCCAGACCTCTGCACATTGTAAGGCACAACCAAAGAAAAAATTCCTTGACCATGCCAAATTCATGGATACTGATAGAAACCTCACTATCACAGGGATGCTCTCGCCTGGGAGCTGTGCTCAGAGGGTTGGAGCCTGATTCTGCTCCACAGGAGGAGCTGCCAAGTGCTCAGCAGCTCTTGAAGATGTGGTCACTCCATGTAGATACATAGGTGGGTTTAAGGGCTGCAGCCCCTTTCCCAGAAGAGTGGCTAAATTATCCTGCTGTCATTCCCAGAAATCTTTGGTATTGTGTGTAACTGCAAGCAAGGAACAGACACACCACCTTTCTCTTCACTGTCCCTCAACAGGGTGGGAGAGGTCCCTGGGGAGCCATCTCAGAGCCTGGCCAGGGGCTGGACCAAAAGGATCGAGCGGGACCCCTGCACCCAAGGTTCCTCCTGCCCAACACCGCTGCTGCCACCCGTCCCTGTCCGCTCACCTTCCCTGCGCTGCAGCCACTGCTGCAGAGGGTGTGCGGAGCAGTCGCAGACCCAGGGGTTCCCTTCCAGCCGAACCTGTGGGACTGACTCCATCAGCTGCAGGCTCAAAGTGTCCACAGAGACCAGTGCGTTCTCCTGCAGGTCCAGGTGGAAAAGAGCCTTCAGTGGCAGGAAGAAAGGGACCTCAAGCTCTTGCAGACTGTTGTTTCTTAGGAGCAGCGTGTGCAAGTTTCCCAAGCCCTTGAAAGCGTCCGTGTGGAGGTAGGCGATGCTGCAGCTGCTCAGGTCCAGCAGACGCAGTGCCCCGAGGTTGGAGAAGACTGCTGGGCTCAGCGCCCGCAAGGCATTGCTAGAGAGGTTGAGGGACCGCAGGGAAGGGAAATGCATCAAGAGAGTCCTGTGACGGGGCATGACCAAGGAGTTGAAGGAGAGATCCAAACTGGTGATGTTGCTTGGAAGGGAACTTGGAGCGTGCAGGAGGCTCTTCCCGTTGCAGTTGGCCCACCCCTGGGAAAAGAGCTTCTGTCTGAGATGGGCTCTCTATGCTGGGGAGGATCGCTAGGCCGAGCCTCTCCAGAAGTTCAAATGTCTTAATTGATTACCCTTGCAGAGTTTAAAAAAAGCAAAGGCACAAACAGGTTTAAAAAAACACATGAGCTGTCAGTTTGGTGTGGGCCAGGATAAATGGAGAAAGATGAGGAGGACAGCCCAGGACTGAGAGTAGCCAACTGAAGGAGTAAAGGAGGAGCATGGAGAGCTGGGAGGAGACTCAAATAGACAAGGCAGGCGCAAAGGCTCCAGGTTGTCACCCTCCTGTCCTCCCTTACAGGGCAGTTGTCATACGGGGTCAGCTTGCAGAGGACCTTCCCCTTCCTTCCCCAGAGCCCAACCTCCAGCCCCCGGGGAGCCCTTGCGTGACCCAAGGGCATCCTCCCGGCCAGGGCAGGGCAGCAGGCAAGACCCCTGCCCGCTGCGAGGGCAGGCAGGCAGTGGGAGCCAGCCGGGGTGCAGGGCTGTGGGGACCTGCACCAGGCACCCGTGTCGAGAGCTGCTCCCCAGGACCTGTGCAGGACATTGCACCCATGCCTCCAGCCCTCCCGCCTTTCTGAGGGTACACGGCAAGTGGCAGTGGCTTAGTGCAGGCTGGCTGTGGCTATATCAGTGACCAAAGCAGACCAGGGACCGTTTGCTGTCCTGAAAGACCAGCAGTGCATGCTGGATGGATCGATCAACCCAGATGGATCGATTTTTTTTTCCCCTGAAAAGAAGGGTGGCCAAATTCAAGCTTGTTTTGGGGAGCAGTCCCCAGCATGTGTTACTCCTGCCTGGGCTTTATGTGGGAGAGGGCCAGCTGCCCAAACTGAAGCTGCCAGACAACAAGTCAGCAATTTAAGTTTGGTTGGGCAGGCATGGGCTCCTGCTTGATGCCATGTTTGGGCCCTGCAGGCAGAGGTGCTGTGCTGGAAGTTTGCTGCGGTCCTCAGTCCCGGGTTTCTAGGTCTGGCTGCTTTCCAGCTAGCTGGCTTTTCTGCTTCTTTGCCTCTTGTGTGATCACCTTTCCTTTCATCCTCTTGTTCATCTAAATCTCCTATCAGGCCCTGCCGTTCTTGCTCATTAGAGGAACAGATCTGCACTTATAAACCTGGGGTACCAAGGACTGGGTTATAATGGGGCTGAGCCATGATGACTCCGCATAGGTCCTGTCTCAATCTCAAACAGGGCTGGGCTCAGGGAGGCTGGGGAAACAGTGCAAAACTTTTCAGGGAGTATCTGAGAGCTCGGTGGGCAGCACTGCCCTGTGCCATCCGCCCACGACAGCTGCTTTTCCTGCCTCCTCCCAGCTCCCACCAGGTGCAGCTGAGCTGCTGGCTGCAGAGCTTGTCTTGGCAGGATGGGTTAGTTATGTTGCCTTCTCCTCGCCAGGCACTTGGGGATCCTGACCCCATAGTTGCCCTGACCCTGGCTTCAGTCACTGCATCACCACACACTGGAGAAGGTAGTGAGGGGCTCAGAGCCCCCTGGGGATGTGCATTGCTGCTGCTCGCTGTGCACCCCTTACGGGTGGCTGTGTTATGGCTGCAGCCAAGGGACCCCCAGAGTCAGACGTGCCATGGCTCAGAGAAGGCTTTGCCAGCCCTGCCGTGCTGTGCTGAACGGCTGGACAAGGTGCTGTGTTCAGCCCAGGGCTGGGAGCAGGGGTGTTGTGGGGCTGGGACAGGACAGCCAGGCTCCAGGTGTGTTTTTTTTCTGGTAGCCACTGGCACAGCACATCTCCCAGTTAACTCCGCTTGCTCCCGTGGGTTTTCATTGCTCGTCGTCTCTCGAGCGGTGCAGAGCAGGAGCTGCCTGCCAGGGCCTGCTGCCCCGCAGGACCGCGGTGCCGCCACCCCGGCTGCGCTGGCAGGACCGGGAGTGGGGT